AATGTTTCGCCTTTTTTAGGGATAACAGGAAGGCTGGTGTCGCTTCTTTTTGTTGTTCTATATATTCAATCGTACATTCGATAGCTTTTAGTCCATCTGTATGAGAGATGTTGATTTTAATAATCACTGTCTTCATCATCTTCGCTAGATTCATTATCATTATTGACGATATTAACGATAATTTCATCAGACCAAGTTGTTGGATTTTGTTTTTCTGAGTGTTTGGAAGATAAAGTTCAGATTTATTTTTCAGCGGTTTTTTTAAAAATAAACTAGAATAAAAATAAATCCTTGAAATATTTGATAGCTCGGTTAAAGCGGAAACTCGGATAACCGGGGCTCGGGTTATCGGGACTCTACTGTATAATATAAAAAAAATTAAAGTCAATTTCCACTTAGGTCCACAAAGAAACATTTTATTTTAGTTACTTTTTATGAAATAATTACAATTTTTTCTTCCATATAAAACTGAAATCAATTAATTAAATTTAATGAATGAATTAATATTTGAAAAAAATGTGTTGGCAACAAGTGTCATCCATTACAAGTTTTAAAAAAATTTATTTGAACCTGAGTGGATGAATAAAAAGTATTTTATTAACGATTGAAATTCTGAACAATATATTAGGTAGAGTGTGAACTAATAGTAGGAATTGAAAGAAAGTGTTTCTTTACACAATTTTATTGGTTGTTCAACATCAAATTCGGAAAGATAGTACATAACAGTTTGCACTGTTAAGAACCAGCAAAGAAAGTCATTAGACAAGCCCATTTGCTATATTTTTTACCCATTTGATCTCTGATTAATGTTGTTTAATCTTTGTATGCAAATGTTTAGTAAACCGCATTAGCGATTACAATAACTGTTCTTTTGGAATGTTCTAAATATATTAATTGTACATACTTTTAGGCAGTACAAAATATTACATATTTGTTAGAATGGGCCAAAAGTATTATACCAGTTGAGAAATGGAATGTAACTCCCCTAACATTGAGAGGAACTGCTGCCCTGAGAGCCTTGCCTAAATTTCTTTCAAGCTCTCTATTCGATGAGGTAAGAATTGAGAAATATATCTGTGCTTTTAATCGTATATGTATGTTAATCGTTATTAGATGATAAAAGAAGCCTGGTTTCAATACTGAAAATTTATACATGTATGCTTATATTGTATAAATATAGTTGATTTTTTTCATTTTTTACGTTGTTTGAAAGCTTATATTTCTGCCTGTCTTGCTATACGGAAACGAAACCTGGACTTTAAACCTTGACGTCTAACGCCCGATAGAAAAGTTTGAAAGAAAGATACTTAGGTGCCATACCAGAGGGGGGATGTTGGCGAACACGGTACAACTTTGAACTTTATGGGCTCTGTAAACATCCTCAAATTATGCAGATAATCCGAAGCAACCGACTAAGATGGCTCGGCCATATATGGAGAGGCTCTTAAGATAGCCCTGTAAAAATTGCCACCTTTAAGAACCCTCAGGGGTCCCGCTCTAGAGGTAGACCACCTACTCGATGGCTCAACGACACCGAAAACGACCTCAAAGTCCTAAAACTTAAGAACTGGAGGGGAGTTGCCATGGACAGAGGGAGCTGGAGAAGGCGTGCTGTTGAGGCAACCAAGGCCTGCAAAGGGCTGTTGCGCTCCTGAAGAAGAAGAAGAAGAAGAAAGCTTATATTGAACAAAATAATGTCAAAATGATTTCCAAAATCCAAAATGTAGTAGCGATCAAAGTTGTGACCCAAATACCGCCTCCTAACTTCCATGGCAAATACAATTACAAAGTTGTACTTACCTTTATAAAAACAGGATGTTTTTGAGGCTTATTAATTTAAAAAAACATTACACCTGAGGTAGAAAATGATGTTATATTTTGCACCGAAATGAAGGCCATCCCTAAACTTTAATTTCAACCTTATTTAGATCTCATAAAATCAACTTCATATATAGCTCTGCAATACTTTTAGTTGAAATTGGACAAAATTATTCCAAGTTCTATTATTAAAGTGTAGAAAAAATAATTTCCACACCTCAAAAAGACACTTTTTTAGCTGATTGCTCTAAAGTAGATTTCCATCAACTTCAAGTGTTAATGAAGCAATTTCTTGATTAAGAACTTTGAGAAGTTGGTTTTCTAAAGTTGTTTTTAAAGTCAGCTTCAAATTAATCTTAGCACCTCAAAACAATCTTAAATCAATCTCAAAAACACCTTAAATTTTTGTAGGCGATGCACGTAAAATCGCATTTGTTTTTCCATTTCATTCCATCAGGATGTTATAGAGTATTCCATTTTATTTTTTTGAGATAAGAATTATTCAGAAATTGCAAAACATTGAGACACTGGTTTTAATAAATAAACTTTTTAAATTATATGATTCATTTTTTTTTCGGTGTTTCTCAGGTCAGACTGATGATTCTCCAATCACAAATTATTAATTATTTCGAATTTATTTTTAGATAAATCAAGTTCTTCAGAATTCTCCGTTCTACTGTCCAAATAGATGCATATCGCTTTTGACAGAAGAAGAAGAAGGTATTTTAATTTCAAAATTGTATTACCGATTAATTCAAGTAGATTAAAATACACAAGTTTTCTTTATTGTAAGCTTTTAAACTGAATATCTATTATATTGTAAAACAGTTTAGCCAATATTATGTATGAAATTATGCTTTTGATATTGGTTACATCTTTTAAATTTTCTACTCATTCTTACTATGAAATAAAGAACTTAGTGCTTATTTTATTTTAAAACTTTATAACCGTCGTTGAACGGTCGACCCAATTTTGATTTTGGGTTTGGACCATCAATGTTCAACTTGGCATTGAACATTGATAGTCAATGTTCAATGACTATCAATGTTCAATGATAGTCATTGAACATTACCTAATTATATATATATAAGTGGATACCTAATTATATATATATACTGAAATATAAGTGGTTCAGGTATTACAAAGCATAAACCTGAGTTTATGCCTTGTAATTTTGGAACCAGTTCAGAAGACAAGGAAACTGCTAGATCTAGTGTTGGGAGACATTTGCCTTCGTGGAGGACTTTTTGATGGAACTAATCTGCCTTTGCGTTGCATGGAGAGGAAAGCCACGAAAACCCCCCAAGGTTTTGTCTGACGGCAAGGGGACTCTCACCCATGATCCTCGTATCACGCGGGATATTTTACGTCAGCACTGTGGCTCGTTTGAGTCTGGTGCGGAATTCGCATCCGACAGTCATCACTGGGATTCGAATCAGGTTCACCTCACTGGGAGGTGAGCGTTCTATCTTGAACCACGGGAATTTTGTAAGTTAATTAGTTCTAAGTTTTTAGCTCAAGAATGGAAGAAAAAGTCTTCATTACAATGACTAGGTTGATGTTGAAAGATCGATTTATATTAAAAGAAAATACTCGTGAATTTTGGATTATCAGCTTTAGTAAATTTGGAAACACCAAGATGTAGGATGCAATGGCAAATGGTAGGGAAGAAGACGTGCTGTGTCAAGCAAACGTTTTAAGCATAGATCAAAAGGTAAAGAGCACACAACAACGTAACAAACTTTTAAATCTAAAAGTATACAAACTTTAACAAGTCCCTTTCTCTTGGATAAATATCCCTAATTCCCCCTGTAACATGATTTTTTGGTTGCGAGCTACAGACGTACCTGAGAAAATATCCCTCCCCTCCTATTAAAAAAAAGGAAAACGCTGAGAACCTTTGAAAACTTTTCAAATTATGCTCCAGTTCAACTGTTAACATATAGTCTGTCTAAGTGAAAAAATTCCCCTCGTGATTCGTTTGGAGCAATAGCCGTGGCTATGGTTATGAGGTTTAACTATTTCAAGTAGGGTTGTTGGGTCAATATTTAAGACAGGTTTTGGTTCGGGTTTATGAGAGAAAAGGAATTACGGAGAGAAAAGCTCCCCTCTTTGAAATACGCTACTTCTTGTTTCAATGGCAGCAGACAGCCTTAGTGGCAAGAAGAATTTTTAATATAGACAAATTATAAGTAACTATTCAATGCTAATCATTTTCTACAAGTGGATGACTAAAATGTTTATTTTTTTAGGTATTTATGGATGGTATGCTCTCAATTACCTGATTGGTAGTATATATTTTTAATGCTCAGTATAATTATTTATATAAAAATAATTCAAATTAAAAGTATATTTATTGTTATTATATATATAAAATCATTTAAGGGTCATATTACCATCTCCTTTACAGAGAAACTAAATGACTTAAACCATTCAGCAGCACTTGTAGAAACAGGAGGAGGTTCATTTCAAGTAACATTTTCAGTGGATAATCAACATGCACCGAAAGTGAAATTTATCAACAGCTCCTTTCCCAGCCTCAAGCAAAAACCATTAGCTATGTATACTCGAAGGTAAAAACCTAAATCATACTAAGTTAGTTTTTTTTTTTACTTAATTAGTTGGTTTATTGATTAAAATTTATTGACACAAGAGCCAGATATGAATATATTGCGCCAGCCACTAGGTTAAAAAAAATGCTTTCTTTTTAAAGCAGTGAATATAATCCTATTGTTTTGACAAACCTAATAAGATTGTGATGTATAGGGTCACCAAACAAGGATTTAAGATCAAGGGGAAAGCTGCCAAAGAGTTTGTTCCTCAAATACTTGAATCATTTGCAGTTTGTTAAAACGTGCTTAATAGTTAAGGTCGACTAGACACAGAGAGCAACTAGGTGCAGGATCAACAGTCGGTAAATGTTTATGGGTGTAACGGAAATGATCAATATGCAATCTATTAATTATAACCTGGGTTTTGGCGATAAACGGATATCAATTAGCGGTTTTCTAAGTAGGGGAAAATTCCATGCATTTTATTGTCTATTTGCTTACTCCAATGTTCTTTCCATGCCTGCTGTATTGCAAATTTACATATTCGTTTTAAATCGAATCACGTTTAGCACTTAGTAAAAGGTAGAATCATACATTCGAAATAGAACGGGCTTACCTTTGGGAGTAGCGTCCAAGCATGCGCACAGTAATCAGTTGTAGTATGTACACAAGTTTATATACTGAGTGCCAATTACGACAAAGTTTATGTACCAACAATTTCGAATGACCAAGGGTACACAAACTGCTCAATTGAAATATTTATAAGGAACTTGACGAGAATACGTATCTTTCCATTTAGTGTATATGTATGCTAACGTAACGTGTATGTTAAACGCTATATACTTGTAAATAAACAATCCTAAAAAAACTCGATAAAATAACTAATCCTGTGATAACCACTTATTATTATTTTTTCTTGTAATCGTTTCATTTCAACAGTTATTTAGGTTTGGGCTTCTTAAATGCAAGATTTTCTTTTCTTCAAGCATCCAATGACAATTTAGGTATGTTTGCTTCCTCCTACTTTTTAAATATTAATTTTTTTAAATCTTTGTTTGTGTAATACCACAGATGGTAAATCAAATAAAAAAATAAATCTTAGTACCTCGTAAACGGGAATTCTTGATTTAAAGAGGTAATAAAGGATTGTTCAGTCGGAACCGATGTACTCCGCCAAATGTAAACTGAAAAATCCGTCATTTCGAGCTTAAGTTGGTCAAAAGAGTATAGCAAAAAATAAAACGAAAAAAAAGACGGAAAATTTCTGATGCACTGGGAAGATAGTGAATGCAAACATCTAGATAGTATACGCCTTAAGAATCCATACTTTTTTAGAAAAAAAAATGAAATAATTCAAAGTATGGATTTGAGAAAAACTAATTCAAGTAAATTGTTATCAATACATGTTTTGTGTGGTTCTAAGAAAATTTTCACATTGGAAGGAGTTTTCTCATTTTATTGGTATTATGAATAAAATTCAGAAGAATATGGATTTTGATTTTAAGTCATTTTTTCTGATTTGTAGCAGAGCACATTTCCGAGGGGTACACATATAGTGGATAATTTGTAAATTTTTAAAATTGTTTGCGCGGTTATAATCATTTGGAATTTCTTTCACATAAAAATACAGGCTTTTTTTTGAATAAATTTTGAAAAATATAATTTTTTTTTTTGAAAATTCTGGAGGACACAATTTTTATAATATTTATAAAGATTTTTTTTTAAAAAAAAATAGTTTTGCCAAAAAGATTCTAAATTTGTAGTGAATTCCTTGTTTAAAAATTTCTTATATTTAGTTAGTTGGTTTAGATTCTTCAGTGCAAAAGTCAGTTGTGGCTATATTGCATCTACAACTAGTATTATTAACATCAATTCCAATGTTGCATAAAAACAGTTTGCCCCACAACAATCATTTGTTAGTTTGTAATATAAAAGAGCGGGCAACATAATTTTGGAAAATATCAGAATATACCAACAAATATTTGCAGAATATATATTTTTAAAAAAATAACTTTTGTTTAAAACACTCAAAGTTGTTATGTTTATAAACATTCCGTTAAATAGCGAAAAAAGTTCCTAATTTTAGCAAAAATATAAAAAAATTTATAAATTAAGAAATGAAGCAAAAGCGAGATATACAGTTTTAAAGTTTCCTATAGTTCTAAGTTTAACTGTCCTTTAACTTACAAACTCTTTAAATTTCCCTTTAACCCTTTGACGCAGATGAGAAACCGGTGACCCTTTTGTATATTTTTTTGAGCTCCAATTACAATCAAAAATATATTTTAGTGTTTCTCTAATTATAAAACCTTTCATTAACCTTTTGGCGTAAATGGGACACCGTTGTCCCTTTTCATATGTATTTTTGACGCTAAAATAACAAGAAAAAGTATAGTTTGCTACTTTTAATAATAAAAAACAGTCTAATAGGTACTAAAGGAATCTGTTAGATTATGCGAATTAAAGATTATTCGTAGATAATTATTTGAAGTCCAAAAAAGTATATATTTTTTTCATTCATATTTATATATTTATCAATAATTGGTTTTGTAAACTAAAAAAATTTCAATAATGAATAACTATTTCTCTTCGATCTATGTCACTGAATATAAGTGGAAAATTGAAAAATTATATTTTGGAAGATTTTACCTTTCACGCAGAAAAAAACGCCAGTGTTTCATACTGAATTTCATAACCATAAATTATAAAAATACTAAATGTAACATTTTTCACTGGTTTTGACCTAAATTAATATATCATCATCATCATCATAATTGACCATACTGCTCAGTGTGGGCCAATGCCTTCCCATGAAGATTTCTCCGTAACGACTTCCGATTGATCTAAACTAATACAAAATAATGTTTAAAAAATTTAAAAATATGTTTAATAAAAATTTTGTGTCAAAGGAATAATTCAGAGCATTAAGTTAGTTGTTTTAAATTTTTGTGACGCGGAAAAAAAAAGAGAATCAGTTAAAATTCAAAGTTAAGAAAAGGAGTGCTGCCAAAGTAGTTTAAAATAGAAAAACATAGTACATAAGCATAGTACATATACAAACATAAACTTAGAACATCTCAAACAAATATGGATTATATTATCCACTGCTATAAAATGTATTGTGTTAATTATCCTTATTTGCATTATTGAGTTTTGTTTCAATAACTTAAGTATACAAATATATTTGTTGCATTTCAGGTCTCCCAGAAGAAATCGGGAAAACAATGTTTATAAGTTCTTGCATTCAGCCACATCATGCGGGGGTTTTGCATTATAATAATGTGGATTACATTGTTATGTAAGTTTAATAAATTTTATACGCGCACACATGCATTGAAACCCCTCAGTAAAAACACGCGTAATAATTGTAGTTACAACGAACTTTTCTTTTTATGGCCAAATACAAAGTTGTAATGGTCAAAAAATTTATAAAAATAGTAAGAAATGAAATAACTATATTTAAATTACTAATGTTCTAGTTATTGTGAACCTTTTCTTACAAATATTTAATTAAGGATAAGAAAAAACTTGGGAGCAAATAATCACATTATTTTTAATGCTAGATAAGGTATCACAATCAAACTTTGAAATAAAGATCTAAAACCCTAAAAGATGTATGAGCTACTAACAAATGCATTAATATTACTCATACTACTCATAACGCAATACAATTCATAACTCAAATTTTTATTTTTTTATTATATGAATCAAATACTTTTTTTTTCATCTTTCAGTGGTCAAAAGAATAAAAATTTTAGTTATGAACATTGCTATCAAAAAGTTGTTAATTTTCTTGGCAATCAAGTAGAAAAGATTGAAGAATTGAACAATAGAGACATTTATGTAGCAGGAATAAATTCCGGATTATCATATCCTATGCGTAAGTAAATGTTTGAATGGAATACATAATTTATAATCAATATTCGATGTAACGTTTTAGATTAACACCTATCCTTGTATAAGAGCAGCATTTAAAAGTAATTGATGTTAATTAGAATTTGAGAAAATTCATTTAAAATTAAGCGCTTCAGTGAGACGTTTCTTTACTACAAACTTTAAAGTCTTTTTCTGAATCAATATTTATCATTTTAAGGAACCGTTTTAGTTGTACCGTATACTCTCGATATCACGAATTTCGATATCTCGAAAACCTTGCTATGTCAAAAAAATATTTTTACCTTTGGCATTATATATCCACCTAATGTTAGTTATAATTCCTATGTCGAAGGGTTTCTTCTCAAAACCTTGCCAAATCTTTTTAGTAGAAATTCAATTTTTCAGAAAAATCACAATGGAAGTTCATTGTAAACCAACTCTTCTCTATTTAAGGCATAATTATATTAGCCTTTCTTTTAAAAATAAAATTATCATTGTTTTATTTGAACTTATAGTCAACTATCATTACGTACATTTTTAATAGTAGTTATTATTACGTTACATGACTATACTTTTTAGAGTAATATTTTACAATACTTTTTTTTTTAACTTTTTCGAACATGTTTAGTTCTGAACTTGTTATCTTCTGCTCAAAGATTTGAGCATTTGGGGCAGCATTGCATTAAAACCTGGGAACTACAGAATGTTCCTGTAAGTTGTTTGCTGAATTTTATTTCAGCTATAGGGCTTTCATGCTTATCATGATTTAGGGTTAGGGTACAATAGACCTCTGGTCGATGTGCCCTGCTCTCTGGAGCTGCCCAACCATAAGTCTAAGCCAAGTCTAAAGGTAGTGGGCTAAGCTGAACCAAACGTAAATGGCACTGCGTAAGTTAATTAAGGAGCTGAAACAGTGCTATAAGTCCTACCTGAAGTAAACAAACGGAAACCGTGGGAAATCAGTTAAACTAAAAAAGCAAATCTATTCTGAAAATATTTATTAATGCTTAGAATTGGATGAAATTGAACTTTTTTTTTCTTTTTTCATGTATTATACTTGGTAGGTAAAGATGGTGACTATTGTACACTAGACACTTTTGTCAACACCTGTAAACATTATTGCTCAGTCGAAATACCATACGCAACATTTCTGTGTTTTGATTGTACTTATGTGGCAGCTTTTTTGACTCATGGATTGGGACTCGACATAAGGAAAGAAGTTAAGGTGACACAATTAGAATTATGTCTTTTATATTGCGTTTTTTCAATTTACGTTGAAGAGTAAATGAAAGGCCTAAGAAGTGGCCACTCATAGGTTCCATAAATCTTTAGGATTCCTTTCAAGTTTTAATAATTTCTAAACATTTTTTAAATAATTTATTTATATAATATGTGTATATTATAGTATTTTTTTAAAAATGTTTTCAATAGAGCGTTTATTTAGAAATTTTTCAGTTTTCAGTTATTTAATCACCTTAGTACTTAAAATGTGGCAATAGTAGAAAGTACAAGTGAAACTTCTGTTATAGTTCTTAAAGATAGTGTGATTTTATGATGGATGCACATCTAACCACCATCCTAAAAATTTACGTGAAGGGATGAACAAACAAATAACTTTGAATAAAAGTCTCTCTTTATATCAAATAAGCGGAATTAATACACAATAAGAGTTAGTTTAATGTTTATTAAGTATTATTTTATTAAGTATCATTTTTACACGAACTAGAAAGTTAGTTAACTGATTGGTTAGTGCAATATCCACAGATTGAGTTCAGTTAAATCACACCAAAAACCTGCTTGAAATCAGAATAACTAGATTAAAAGTTTAGACAAATTTGTTAAAATTGAAACAACTAAATTCAAGCTGAAATATATGCTTTTGTATAAACATTTTGCCAATGATTAAATTAGAGACACTTGTGAAAATTTTCATTCTTATTCATCAATTCTTTCATTACAATCTATAAACGTGCTAAATACCAATTATAGAATTTTAAATAAGTAAAATATACTTCAATGATTATGGAGTTTAAGGTCAACAATTATATAAATCAATTATAACCAATTGTCAAAACAATCATATATAAACCAATTGAAATTTTCTTAGAATAATAAAACGGCGTGACCCTGCAAATAACTAAAAATTGCACGTCAAAAAGGACCTTATCGATCTTTCTTTTCTATTAATATAACTATATGCTTCATCAACTTTATAAATTTAATCATGATTCATAAATTTTTAGTAATCCAATCGTGTTTCAGAAACTTCATCCGTCTCATCCTGTTTCATAAACTTCCTTAATCAAGTCAATTTTCATGAATTACATTAATTCATGCATCATGAGTAAAATCATTATTCAATGTGTTAATGAATCTTGATGAAATTTATAAAGTATGTATGTTACAAAAGCTTCATTAATCATTTATTATGAACTTCGACAATTCAATCATGATTCATAAATTTTTATTAATCCAATCGTGTATCATAAACTTCATCAATCTAATCCTGTTTCATAAATTTCTTTAATACAATCAATTTTCATAAATTACATTAATTGAAACAGTTATTAATTTTTAAATGAAATACTCTTTTTAAAATTAACAACTGACATTTTAAAACTAATTGTGCATGCTTTTAAATTGTGTATGCTTTTATGCTAACTATTAAAGTGAACATATTAATCCTTCTAATATTTTGTTATGCTGTCTTCTGAATATAATATCTTATGAGTATTTTAATAAACAGTATTTTGAATACTGTATCATAATTGTCCTCGTTTTAGATGTTGTTTAAATAAGCATTGCTCTTATGTTAATTATTATTAAATAAATTGCATTCAATATAATTTTTCTTTGCAGATTCTGAACAAAATAGATGGAATTCCAATTAATTGGTGCTTAGGTGTTGCTCTTAACACGTTAATCTGAAACGAAAATAATAAATTTAACGCTGACAGTATTCACGTAAATACTAAAGATGAACATTTGTAATACATATTTTATTTCATTATTCATTTAGAGTTGATTAAAAGAACATTTTTTTATTTTAAATTAATCATTTCTTTCACAATTAAAAACATGAATAAAGTTTTTCATGGAATACGATCTGATTTAGATCAATCGCGTCAATCGACGTTGTTATAAACTATATATAAGATAGAAACAAAGGAGAATAAAGGAGGAAAATCGACATTTGACACTACCCATATTTTTAAAACCCACATTTTTAAACCCCTGTTTGCTTCATGAATATAAACTCTTTACAACTAGATTCTCTTATTCAACTAGAGAATTTGTGTTTTGAAAATAATTTTAAAAATATGAGTTTGAGAAAACCTTACTTCCACAACCCTCTTCCTTTCCTTCCATAAATTGCTACTGATTTTAAAACTTTCTAAATTTTACAAAGCATAATTTAATAACTTAAAAAAATTGGGAGTTTTAGATTTCTTTGATTTCATCGCGAAATCATTTACGAACAGCTTTTGTTCTACTTTCTTAATCTTATCTTAAATTTAATTTAGAATTCTGAATTTTTTACAGGAGTTTTAAAAAAGCACAGACATTGTATAAATGAAACTATTTTTGAGAAACGTGGCAAAGATTTTTTATATTTTGTTTTTTTTTATGCCAATCAGGTGCCTAGCAGTTAGCATGCATGGCTATGAAACCAATGGCTGCGGGTTCGAATCCCGCTCAGGGCATGGATACTTCTCTCTCTGTGCCTGTTCTTCGGTCCTGTGTTGTGAATTTGGCTCACCATATGAACGGGTATCTGTGGGGTTGGTAATGCTGCCGACCTTCGTGACTTAGGCCGCAAGGTGCTCACCAGGCAAAATAAGAAACACTTTCGGAATCTTTCATGGCGAGTTTCGATAGTTTAAGTGTCTGCAGTTAAAAAAAAGGGAGAAGGGGGAGTTTTCTTCAGAGATAAAATTTGAAGAAAAATAACGATAGTAAGACGTCTTGCAAGCTCGATAAAATTCATACGAATCATATTATTAACTTGAAGCAACGTTTAACACGCATTCAAATGTGCTCTTTGTAAAGCAAACTAGCTTTTTAATTTACATTTTATTTTATGACCGACGTTGAACAGCCGACCCAATTCTGAGTTTGCGACTACCCATGTTCAACTTCGCAGCCTTGTAGTTTTAAACCCAACCCAGAAGACAAGTAAATTCCTGTAGCAAATAATGGTACAAACTTGCATTCGTGGAGGATTTTTTCGATGAAAATATCCCGCATATGAGTTACATGGGAAGAAAAACCACGAAAACGATCCATGGTTAGTATGACGGCAAGAGAATTCTAACCCATGATTTCGTGTACAACTGAAGATATTTTATGTGAGCACTATTATCGATGTGTGCCAGGAGCAAATTTCGTACTAGTCAGCCACCGCTGGTATTCGAACCTGGTTATTATTTTGAATTACATAGTTTAATAATATTACATATTAATTTGAATAATGATTTTAAAATATTAATTGTTCATAATAATTATATAGTTATAAAAATTAAAAATAAAAAAGTTCCAACAGTTTTGGAAGAATTTAAACCTTTAAACATATCTTGGCTACATAAGATTTCTCCACTAGATGATAAATTATTCAGGATATTCAAAGTTGCTTACCTTAGTTCAAGCTTTTCCGAATTTATTAAATTAAATAAAAAATAATAATTACTAAAATTTATTTTTTACGTGAAGTTATGTTTATGTAAATAATTTTCATGAATGGTGGCAGAAATTTTAAAATTTTTAGTTTTAGTATTATAATTATAACTATAATTAATTTGTCGCTCTAAAAGAAAGACAAATTCAACTTTTGTCGCTCTTTTGTCGCTTAATCAAACTACAGGAGCCATATTTTCTCAAATTGCAACCCCCCTCCCCATATTCTGGGGATCAAAAATCGGAATCCATCGAAAAGAAGACGTGTTTTGACAAAAAATTTTTGTCTCCAATGTCACAACTTTACTTAATGTTATCAATAATTAATTAGCGAAGTTTTTAAAATGCGTCTTTTATAGAGAAAAATAAACTGTCGTCACCTGCCACATACCGACTAAATATAACAAATCGCGACTTAGAAATTGTCTGCCAGTCTCCATCCGATCACTACTATCTTCATCTACCCCTTGTCCATTATTTTTTTAATTTTTTAAATAAAGTTGGAAATTCTGAAAATTGCTTTATTTCTCGCTTGTGACTTAAAATTTTTCTTCATGTTAGAAATAAGCAATGTAATGTTCACAAAATTTTTAAAAAAAACTTCTTCAAAATTATATTTTTAAAAATTGTTAATTAAAAAGAAATTAAATAGTGTTATATAAGTGTTAATTAAAATTTTACTTGAAGAGCTGCACGTTAATTAAAAAGTATTAAAAATGCCACCATTGACTATAGACCTCAAATTCGCCCTATGTCTTTCAAAGGATTTAAATTGCACTTTAGTATATACGAACCAGATTATTAGATCAAAATTTCATTTAAAGAGATTGATACTTGCTTGGCCCCCATTGTTAGAGTATTTATAGCGTTTCTGAAATATATATAAGTAGAATACAACAATATCTTCAACGACAACAATGATCATTTTCATTGTTTCGTAAGAAAAACTCCATTAAAAACAAAATTTCGTTGTTTTCATTGTTAAAATTAACATCTATTGTAGAAGAATCAATTTCATTTCTATTCTAAACTTTGGTGAGTATAGAAAGCTTTCTAACTTACTGCGAATTAAAAAGGCGAATTTTGTGAAAATGAAAGTTTCGATTGACGAAATAATGAATGAAAATCAGATCTGCGATTTAATTGATGCATGGTTCTGTTTTCTTGAATATAGTGCAACATTGACTGAGAGTGAGGAAAACTACGAACATGCACCAATGTCGCATGAAAAGCTTGCTGATGAGGATATTTGTGGGTTGCATCAAGGGTCAAATCCAAATGGTGATTTAAGTGTAAATGACACAGAGAATTTGGCGAATGATGAAATAATCGATGAAAAACATATTTGCGATTTGATTGATTCATGGTTTTGGTTTCTAGAGTATGATGGGATAGTGCCTGAATCACATTATGAGGAAAACTATGGATTTGATCCTACGTTATGTGAATTGGATTTGGCAAAAACAGAAATTTTTAATGATGATTTAAAAGGTGAAGAGCAAATTTGTGAATTGATTGATTCATGGTTCTGCTTTCTTGAGTATGATGACGGATTTAAATGTGCTGCAAACTCTTGTTCACTTTCGCCAATAAAGAATGAATGTTTTGCTACTAGAAAATCTGATCAAGAGTATCGCATTTCAAATTTGAATGTTGATTTGAAAATGAAAGAGAACATGGATCTGGGCAAATTGAAGGATAAAAAACCTAAAAAGAGGAATCGCATCAAGCAAAGATTTGTGCAATTTTTCCTCTCCTGCTTTTTTTATAAAAAAAAAACAAAATAATAACTAGGAAAACTCCAAAGGAGGAAAGTGTCTGAGATAACGGCACTGTGGTCTTTTCTATCCATAAGAACATGAACATACATTGACTTGAAAATTACATAACAAACGGATGTCACAACACGCTGATTCAACCTAAATATGAGGAAATTTGTGATCCGACAGTTATTACTGATAAATTAAGTGTGACGACATAATGACGGAATCTATATATGAGGAAAGCTATAAACTGATAGTACTAATTACCTTAATGTAGCGAAATAGTGACTGAAGATAAATGTAAGGAAAGCTATGAACTTATATGGTTAGTACTGATTAATGTGACAACATAATGACGGAATCTAAATATGAGGAAAGCTATGAACTGATAGTTAGTACTGATTACCTATATGTAACGAAATGGTGACTGAATCTAAATATTAGGAAAGCTATGAACTTGTATAGTTAGTACTGATTACTTAATTTTCATGACATAATGACAGAATCTATGTGTGAGGAAAGCTATAAACTGATAGTTAGTACTGATTACCTAAATGTGACGAAATGGTGATTGAATCTAAATGTAAGAAAAGCTATGAAGTGATGATAAGTAGTACTGATTACTTGATTGTGGTGGCATAAAGGCGACACATTAATATGAGGAAAGCTATAAACTGATAGTTGATCCTGGTTACTGAAATGTGGCACCACAATGACGAATTCTTAATATGAGGAAAGCTTTGACAACGTAATGACTACATAATGACTAATATATGACAACATTATGACTAAATCTACATAAAAGGAAAGCCGTGAGAACCTCGTGAAAAACTTCTTGATTAGATGTCTTAGTGGCTAAATTGGAAAATTGGAATGCAGATTTAAGAAATGATAACAAAGAGGATTTTGGCATAAATAATAGTTACAAATGATAAAGAAAGAGCAACAACTATGAAGGCTCCAAAATGGCAAAGTGTTTGAGCTAATGGACACACGATCTTTTTTCAAATGTAAACAAAAACAAAGATGCTGACAATTAAACGAAAACGATACTAATTTCAAGTTTTTCTTTCTGTTTTAAAAAAAATAATTGTAAAACTAGTCATTTAGTTATGTGAAAATAAAAGATAAGGCTTAAATCTATGTGATTATTCTTGTTCAAAAATTTATTTTCATTATTTAATTATATATTCAAGTTAATATTCTGCACGATGAAGTTAAAGTTTACAATTTTATACTTAATGATTTCCCTTATCCCATAAGCTTATAAAAATTAATATTTTTTCCCAAAAATGTAAAATTAAGAATAGATATAAAAAAGCTCTAGCAAATCTTTGACAAAGTGTAGAATATAGTTTCTCAATTTAGTTATCATTTTATATTTAAAAAGTAACTTCATTTACTAACCTATATTTTCTGCATTTAACCCTATATATTTACTTTAGCAAAAAATTAGTAAAAACGCTGAAACTTTTACTTCTCATGAGTAAA